TATATATACACACAATATCACTGAATTTAATATGCAATTGAGAAGTATATGAATCGAATGCCACAAAATTGATTTGTTTTGGAAAGCTGATCTTGGAAATTTGATTTTAATTTATTTGTTTATTTATTGGAGTTTTTTAACTGCAGTTGTAATAAACTTCATTTTTTGAAAATGAAAGAAAATATGATGTGATGAACAAAGAGAACAAAAAAGTTAATCGGATAAAAAAATGTAGTCTGGAAGTTTGGATGCACAATTCCAGAATTCTTCGGGAATACGTGGCATACGGTAAAGAATGGCGAGCGAGCGCGATAAATCTAGCCCGCTCAAAATAGGCGGATGCAACATTATTTTCATTATGATCATTTCAAAGTACAAGGATCAAACTTTAATTTAATCTCTATTGAAAGTCTCTAGCACGTCAGGTTCACTTACAACGTTGTTTCAAATATGGTTATGCCAAAAACACATTTTTTGGCACATTTTTCAATTTTCCGAAAAATCGGATGTAATACAAAAATCTCGCTTTCGGCGGATTACGTTTCAACGATCAAAAATCTATGGGAAATGACACCTCATCCATGGTGCATGTTTAATATCAACCTATATTATTAAATTGAATTTATTCTTATCAAAATTAATTTATTAACAGAAAAATACAAAAAATATGGAAACTTAAGTTTTAAACAAATCTAAATATAAATATTTAATATTTATATAATTTTGACAATAAATATATGCGATATTCGCATATTGACTTCACGTACAACACATAACAATACAGAGTTCGAACAATACAATGTAATATGTCAAACTAAGTCTTAACTACTCGAACACTGAGACATGTGGTGATATTTATCGCAATAATCAGATAAATAATGAGAAAAAGTGCTTGCCAGTGCCGCGTAAAGAATTAACAATAAACAATAATCTAAACTGATATATGTTTAAAACAAATCCTAGATGGCATTAATCGGCAGACAGTCTTAAATAATTTTTTCTTTGTTTCTCGAATTAATATATATAAATTCAGGACAAATGCTTTTATATCGCGAACTATCGCGTGTCATTATAATAAATCTAATGAAATTTTCTGGATTTATTACTAATCTTGATCTCTAGTGTTGCATGATTTTTCACACTTCTTCAATTTTTTGAAAACGTCTTATCATTTTCTCTTATTATTTTCAAAAAAAAAACATCTTTCGCTAGAGTGCCTATTCGTTATTCGTGTGTTTTTCAATATTATATCTTGAAAAAATTTATATAAGTTGTAAATTATATGTACTTTTAAATATTGCGAAAAAAATCTTTGAGTGTTTCTAAAAAAAATTTCCAAAAATTTTATTTTTTGGGCTAAGCAACTGCATATAACCCCTTAAGCAAAATATAACAATATTGAACACGAAAAAAGTTTAATAGGAAATCGCATTTAATAAACTCACTATTATTTTATTATTACTCTTATAATAATAATAATGATGATTATGATTATGATTATGATTATGATTATGTTGATGATGATGATGATGATGATGACGACGATAATGATGATGATGATTACTAGTATTGTCATTATAAAACTCGTATTTCGAAGTATTCAATACTGACTTGCTTTCTCGCATAGTCAACGCAATATGAGACGAATCTGTTTAGCGTAAAGAATTGAGCACACGGACGAATAGTATATACATAGGAATTTATAATTATTTCTCAAAAATGATATCTCAGAAAATAAGTTTGTCACATACGGTTGAATTCGTATGAAATAAATTTGATCATTAAAAAAATGTTTTAATTAAAAAGATAATATATTAAAATATATTTTAATATACTTAAATACTTATTATATATTTAAATAGAAATGATGGAGGAAATTTAAAAAAAAGTTAAAAAAAGTTTTGTTTATTTCCTCTATAATGTATTCTTGAAACGATTCAACTTTTGTATAAAACTTTTTTATCTATCTGTTATATAGTTTTGACGATATTCATCTTGAAAGAAAAAAAACTGATTTTCTTTTGAGGAGTTTCATTCCCTTAACGTGCAACTCAGCACTTATAAAAAAATACATGTCTTTTATTTTTTTCTATATTTTATCATATTCGAAGCTCTAAATAGGAGAGGGAGGGGGCATTTCCGTATATTCCCTTATCAGATATGTAGCATCACCAATATTGACATCAAATTATTGTTTTAAAAGAATAATTTAATTTGTAATATGTAATTACTTTTATAACATTTGAC